ATGAGACTCCAGGCTAATCTAGGGGCAGACTCACTGTTTGAGGATCAAAGATACAAATTAAGAAGAAAGAAGGGAAAGATGAGGGAAGGAAAAGAAAGAGAGGAGTATGCATGGCACACTTTGCTGATGAGTAAGGATGAAAATCAAAAACCCTTATGAAATGGAAAGGCTTGAAAGAAAGCCACCAGGTACCTGGGGAACTAGAACCAATCCAGGATCCAAACAGGCCTGTGCATGTCTGTGTGTGTGTGTGTGTGTGTGTGTGTGTGTGTGTGTGTATTAATATGTTCCAGGCACCATTTGGAGATATAGAGAGCTTCTGGCAGCTTTCAAGGAGTTCATAGGAAGAAAGGGAGCCAATTGTTTTTTGTTTTGTTTTGTTTTAGTTTTATTGATTTTATTTTTAAATACATGATTTCAATTTTGAATAAATAAAAATTTTTTAAAAACCGAGAAAATGTCAGGGATGAAAATGAAACAGTGAGATGAGCTTGAGATTGAGCAGGACTTTATAATGGATAGTCCAGAAAGGCCTCTTTCCCGCGACCATGTTTTCCAGGACATGACTTTAGTGAGTGTGTGTGCCAGCAGAAGTAAAAGTAGGACATTCAAAGCCAACAGAACATCCAAGGCAAAGCCATTAGGACTGGAAGGACAGAAGGACCCTTGTGGCAAAGCAGACTTAGCAAGAATGTGAGGCAAGGACATGAGGTTAGAAGAGGCCACATAGGTAGGGTCTTGTGGATCCTTGTAAGAACTTTAAATCCTATGCAAAGAGAAGTAGAACACGATGTCTCAGGATGATGAGGATCTGAATGAAACAAGCCTAAGGACACACAAGTTGAAAATTATTGGAGTCAGTGGTGGGTTTACAGGAGCTCATCATGAAAATCCCGACTTTCATATACACCTTTAAAGTTCTCCATGAAAGAACATTTAATACAATGAGAGAACGTGAGGGCATCCTAATCAGTCAAGTGGCATTCTGATTGACATTTTGTAAAGGAGCATGTGACTGCTCGTGGACAGAAGAACTGGACTTGTCTTGACCATACTCACCAGTGTCCCCACATCCTAAGCCACACACCAAATCTGTTTAGCAGATTCCATGCAGCAGGGCCAGTCATGGGAGATGAACTTTTGTTTTTTTTAAGATTTCCTATAATTTTGCAAAGGTAAAATGAATGTAATGTAGTGGGAAAACTATGACCAAGCAATCATGATCTGGACAACTTGTTCAATTGCCTTGAGCCTCAGTTTCCTGGTTTGCTGAGTGCTCTTATTCCTGCCCTTATTCAGGAATTAATAAATAGCAAGGGAAGGATTCTACAAAGCATGAAGGTTTGTGCAAACATAAGGTGTTGTTATTATCTTGGACAACTTCCAATTGGGATTACTACTAATACTGCAAAAATTGACTGCTAATAATGTTGGGGGTTTTTTTGTTGTTGTTTTGTTTTTGTGGTACTGGGGCTTGAACCCAAGGTTTTGTGCATGAAAGGCAAGCACTCTACCAGCTGAGCTATATCCCCAGCCCCTAAAAATATATTTTTAAGCTACTAAAGGATTTCACAGAGTAGGATTGTTAGACTGAAACAGAGATAATAAATCTGGTAAAGAAGCAGTTAAGAACATTGTCCTACTACAACCTTAAGAATGTCTAGATAGCTGGGTATGGTGGCGCATGCCTGTAATCCCAGTGGCTCCAGAGGTTGAGGCAGGAGATTGTGAGTTCAAAGCCAGCGTCAGCAATTTAGTGAGGCCCTAAGCAACTCAGTGAGAACCTGTCTCTAAATAAAATACAAAAAAAAGGTTGGGGATGTGGCTCAGTGCTTAAGTGCCCCTGAGTTCAATCCCTGGTACCAAAAAAAAAAAAAAGGCCTAGACAGCCAGGTGTGGTGGCACATACTTGTAATCTCAGTGGCTTGGGAGGCTGAGGCAAGAGGATCACAAGCTCAAGGCCAGCCTCAGAAATTTAGTGAGGCTCTAGCCAACTTAGCAAGACCCTGTCTCAAAATAAAAAATAAATAAATAAAAAGAGCTTGGGATGTGACTCAGTGGTTAAATGCCCCTGGGTTAAATCCCTGGTACCAAAAAAAAAAAAAAAAAAAGTATGTCTAGAAATACTTAAAGGACTCCAGTTGGCTTGTGGAACTCCAGAAGCTCAAAGAACACCATCTGCACACGTGGAAGCATTTACACAGGCACACACTCTCTCACACACACACATACACAGGCTTTTTGATTCCCATCCCAGAGGTGGGGGTTGGTTTAGTAGGCATTTCTATAGGAATTCCCCTGCAAAGAGTTCACAGCACATTTGAGCCACTACCTCAGTAACTCTCAAATCTCACTGAATCAGAGGGCAGTGCCCTTGTTTCTGAACATAGTTCAGAGTGAGGAAGCTTGCTCAAGTCTCGTGATTACATTCTAGTGCTCTGCTCTTCAACACACACCCTGCTCTGACAACCACACTTTTTTTTTTTTTTTTGTCTCAGGTCATTCTGCCATTTGGATGCATAACCTCAGATGGATTTATATATTTATTGTGGTGCTGGCTAGGCAAGCACTCTTCCGCTGAGCTATATACTCCTAGCCCTTTTTTAATTTTCCAAGAAAAAAAATTTTTTTTGATTACTGGGATTTGAATCCAGGGGTGCTTAACCACTGAGCCACATCCCCATTCCTTTTAGTTCATTTTAAGGTACAATCTCACTAAGTTGCTTAGCGCCTTGCTAAGTAGCTGAGGCTGGCTTTGAACTTATGATCCTCCTGCCTCAGCCTCCCAAGCCATGGGGATGACACTCATATGCCACCGTGCCCAACTCTCGGTTTCATTCTTAAAGACATGCGCATAATTCACGGTGCCTTTGGGAGTGTTTCTTTTGGATTTGTTTTGTTTCTGATGCAACACACACACACACACACACACACACACACACACTCATGCACATGTATACATCCCAGTCTTAGAGGAAAAATGTACATTTAGTAGAGTCTATAACAAATTCTCCAAGTCCCAGATCATCCTGATTATCTGTGGGAAGTCTGAGGAGCGAACCTGGAGCAGTGATCCTCCCTCAGCAGTGGGGAAGCTTGTGGTGTGGAGGACACACGGCCTGCGTCTGATGAGCACTACCGCTTACATGCTGAGCAAGCTTGAGCAGCTCCTTTACTTAAAGCCAACTTCCTCATATATGAAATGGAAATAATAATAATAACTGCCTTGTAGAATTGATGGGAGGATTAAATGTAGGGGAAGCACCTGGCATGTTTCCGGGACAAAGCAAGTGAAAGGGTGAAGAGCTGCTGTTGTGTTATTGAATTGCATTGAATCATTTCAGTACAAGCTGTCTTATCTGACTTCTCCTTAGCTGACTGGGGCTCTCAGCTGGGGGTGATCTCGGTTTTCAGATTGTCACAGTAGAGGAACATTGCTTTTATCTAGTGGACAGAGGTCACGTTCTGCTAAAACTCCTACAATATGCAAGACAGCCCCACAGCAGAGAATTACCCAGCCTAAAACATCAACAGCACTGAGGTTGAGAAACCCTGGGAAACGCCCAATACACAGCTAAGAATCTATTGACACCATATGACAACTTTAATTACCCAGATCTGGGAATGTATGCTGGCCAATTATTTAGGATCTAAAAAGTCTAAGATGTATTTGGATTGTTAAAAGAGAAGCACTAATAGTTAGCCTTGGTAGTTCCTGATGGTGATTGAGTCACCCCTGGAAACCAGTAAGTAACAGAAGGTGCTCACAAGACAAAATGCAGCTTTTCCTCCTGCTGGAAGGTGACCGATCATTCATGACCTTATTTCCTTACCTGACCCAAACAGTTTGTTACAATCCACTACACAGCTGTTCCTTTGTTTCCTGTAGCCTGTTCTGTAGAGGTTTTCAATTCTCACTGGTTTAGGGGGCCAATGGCTTTCTTCAATACCAGAGAGACAATCCAGGTCTTCAAAGAAGCCCCCTGCCCTGTCTTGGAATTCCTTCTCAAAGATAACTAAAGTTTGAGAGTGTTGCTTATTCTGTGTCTATTGAGCTGTTTTACAAGGTTTCAAAAGAGCAACCTCTTGGCTTACTCTTCAATGGAACATCCTAGCCAGGTAGTATAAGCAACAAGTACAGGTGATCTCAGATAAAGCACAGCATTATGCAGACGAAGCTTCCTCTATATTAAAAATATATACTTCTTGAGTATTTTTCTTTGTCTTTTTTTACTTTTTACTTATCAAATAGCTTTGGTTTTGGTGGGATATGCTATTCTGAAAGCATATTATAATAAAAGTGCCAAGGTTCCAAAAGTCCACACTCTTTTTAAAAAGAAATGTTCAGTGAAAATTGTAGGATGTGCACACAAATCCAGAAGTGCGTTATTATAGAGTATTGAGAATCAGCTTTCCAAATCTCCCTATCTGTAATTCCTTTATCCTTAACCTCCTAAAGCTAATAAATCATTGACTCAAAATTTTCACAAATGGAATGTGTTGCTTAAAATCACTATTTCTATTAAATGTAAAAATTAAACACCATCATTTCAGTAATCATAATTAAGGGAAGAATTTCTCACTAGTGTCTGTCTGCAATAAAGTGGTTCTGTGAGCTTTGTGTTCCTTCCTATCCTCTCTGACATATAGAAAGGACTATCTCCATGCATGTATCATCCACCTCCCAATGGCTAATCATCCTGATTCTAACATTATCTTCAACTTAGGAAAAGTCTTAGTGAACTTTGAATAGTGATTCTTAACCTGAGGTTTACTTGGAAAGATCTTAAAAAAAAAAAAAAAATTCTGAAGCCCTGGCTAAAACTCCAGACTAATTAAACCAAAATCACTAGAGATACTTTTGGTTTAATTAGTCCTCAGAATTTTCTAGAACTTCCCAGGCCCAATTCCAGTGGGCCTCCAAGGTTGAGAACCAGAAGCAAAATACCCAAAATACCCAAGTGAAGTTTGTAAAACTATTGTCTCATGTGTCTTTTCAGGTATTTCGGCATGGAGACCGAAGTCCCATTGAGACATTTCCTAACGACCCCATTAAGGAATCCTCCTGGCCCCAAGGATTTGGCCAGCTCACCCAGGTTGGTTGGATGCCCAGCTGAAGGTTGTGGATGAGTCTCCAGGGTAAATGTGTGTAGAATTGTCACTGTTTTGATGCTTTTTACCTTTTTGGCTTTACCCAAGCCCAAGAGCTATATATGGACAACAGAATCTGTGAATTTAGAAATGTTAAAGAGAGAGAGAGGGGAAAAAAAATCTTCTAACCAATAAACTGAATCTGTACTTGGCTCTGTGTGTTCTCATATTCTCCATCAGAAGAACCAGATTAAGGGACAACTGTGTCAGAGACAAGAAGTTTTTTATTGTCACCTCTTGCTGGAGCAGAAAGGAGACACAGCATTGACCCAGCTGGCTCTCAGAACAAAAAAAGGGAGCTAGTTGTTAAGTCTGTAAGGGTCGCAGGGGTGGGCTAGAATCTAGGAATTTTAATGGGCTTTGGGAACAATTTCTGAAATGTTTTCTTTTATCATTTATTTTTATTTATTTTATTGGTGCATTATACATAATAATGGAATCCGCTGTGCCATATTCATGAACATAGCATAACTCAATCAGTCTCATTCCCCAGGACCTTCCCTTCTTCCCCTCTTCTTCCTCTCCATCCACTTACTCTACTGATCTCTCTTTGATAATTATTACTATTGTTGTTGTTAATTTAATTAGCGTGTTATATATATAATACACATACATTATAAAACGGGATTCATTGTAGTATATTCATACATGGACATAGAACAAATTGGTAGATTTCGTTCCCCAGTCTTCCCTCCTCCCTCTCTCTCCATCCCCTTCCTCTGCTGGCCTCTCTTCTGTTTTCGTGAGATCCTCTAAGGTGCTTTCCTTGCAGGCCCCTCGCAAGCACTTCAGCCTTGAGGCAGGCAGACAGTCTGGAGCCAAAGGCTGCATCTCTCCCTGTATCATCCTTTCGCTTTGTGATAAGAGTGAGTCACGGCAACTATAGGAAAATTCATAGGTGGGGGTGGAAAAAAACACAAATTATGGGAGAAACAAGTTAAGGGTCCTGAGAATTTGCTGTTTGGGTGACTTCTCAACAGCATTGTCCTTTATGTTGTTTGTTTTGGGAGAATCATGGTGAGGGGATCCTGGCTTTCATGATGGCAGCTGTTTTCTGAAGTTGGTAAGACTGAGAGTGAGTGAGAGGCTAGGGGAAGACACCATCATGCTCTTACTAGCTAACAAGCTAAAGTTAAGGTCCCTGGGTGCATTTGCCTTTGGTGGGGGTGGGGGTGCTGTTTCATGTGATTCCTCTGAAGTGATGACATTAGAATTTGATGTTTAGCCAGCTGGATGCATTGGGATGGAGTCTCAAGCTTTCGTGTGCAAATGTTTTGTTAAAAATGCAGATTCTAATTCAGCAGGTCTGATGTGAGGCCTGAGATTCTGCCTGTCTGGCAGACTTCCAGATGATGCCAGTGGTACTTGTATATGGCACACTCCTTAAGTGGTAAAGGTTTAGAGCTCCAATTTCTGCCTTTGGCCGGGAACTTCTAATTGGCATAATGATGGGACGATGAATCTCTAGATCAATGGTTCTGCAAGTATGGGCTCTGGACCAGCAGCCTCACCATTGCCCAGCACCTTGTTTAATGTAAATTCCCTGGCCCTGCTCTATAACAGTAAGTTAGAGACTTTAATGCTAAAGCCTAGAAATCTATGTTTTAATAAGTCCCCTCAGGTCATTCTATGTGCCATGTTGAAATGTGAAAACCATTGCTTTGTACAGGAGATGACTGTTTCCCCCAAAAGTTAGCCATAAGAACACAACAAGACCCCAAATCCCTGCTCATCAGGTACCCAATCATGGTCCCCACGTCATTCTTTCCCCACATTCGTCCCCATGGAAGGTGATAATAGTGGTGCTCAACAGTGACAAGCTAATGAGCAGGTGCAGCCAAGCAGCAGCCCGCAGCCACATCCTCTCTAGCTCTTGAAATCTGAAGAGGCTCTGGATTCAAGACAAATCTGCACCAGTGTTCTCAAAGCATGGTGCTCTACTTCCTGCATCTGAATCAGTTGGAATACTTGTTAAAATGCCAATTCCATGACCCCCTCCCCCCAGGATACAATAAGCTAGAATTTGGGGGGAATCTATATTTCAACAGCACTTCTATGTAGTTTTATTCCTGATGCTCAGTAATACTTGAGGACCACTGAGCTAATGCAATGCATCTCAGTGTTTGCTGTCCCTTAAAAGGTCTCAGAGAGCTTGCTGAAAACATATTCCTAAGCTCCACCCGCTAAGATTCTCACTGAGCGGTCAAGAGTGGGGCTCCAGAATTGGATTTTGAATGTGATCTCAAGTGATGACTATATTTCTGATTCACAGATTACACTTTGATTAATAAGTTTTAGTCCTTTATGAACCAGTCATAAATAAACTGTATGGATAATAAATCATTCATTGCACCCAAAGGTTGAAAGGCACCTTCAGATTCATCAAGCCCACCTTCACCACATAGTTGGATTTCATTCACAAAATCCCCATCTATCGGTCAACCAGTCCCTTTCAATACCCTACCATCAAGGATCCTACTACCAAACCAGAGATGAGTCATTTATTTTAATTAGGTCAATCACCAACTATCAACTAAACACATATGAGGTGCAARTTCCTATGTTACGTGCTAATAAAGGTGAATTCATCTTCTCAGGGGGTGGGAGAGTCCTGACTAAAGATTGCAACTGTTTTTATTTTTATGTATCTATGTGTTGTTATTTTGCAACTATTGAATCATTCCTTATTCATTCCACAGGTACAATTAGAAGAGAGGAGACAATTTCATTTACTTTCACTAACTTTTGCTGTTATTTTTTCCCATAGAGAGGCATGGAACAGCATTATGAGCTTGGACAATATTTAAGGAAAAGATATGATAAATTCTTGAATAACTCCTATAAACATGATCAGGCAAGTTGGGGTGCTAACGGCAGGAACCTTGACCCTTGAAAAGAATTAATTCTGAATACGTATAAGTGTTTTACCTGTTTTGTTTTCCAAGGTACTTATATTAGTCAGAGATCTTGTTTACAAATGTACTTGTCTTTATAGGATTATTTATTCCTAAAACTGTATAAATATGAGTAAGTTCAAATTTTTATGGATACTTGTGTAAATACTTTGGCTTGGCAAGTAGACATTGCTAATTGGTATCATTTGTCAATTCAACTATTGTCCTTCTAGTTGGCTTTATCCCAAGGTATGCTCAGAATATTACTCATTTTATAACATATTATGTTTATGAAGTTACTACAATGTCTGCTAATAGTCCAGTGTGACTGTCCTGCTCTTTCTCTAGTACCCAGCCAGCTCCACAGAAGGGGTGCAGGGGACCCTCATGTTTCCTCCAAATTGGCTTTTGTTTTGAGGCATGGTGGTGCTCACCTGTAATCTCAGCAACTCAGGAGGCTGAGGCAGGAGGATTACAAGTTTGAGGCCGGCCCCAGCAACTTAGTGAGGCCCTAAACAACTTAGCAATACCCTGTTTCAAAATAAAAAATATAAAGGGCTGGGGAGGATGTGGCTCAATGGTAAAGTGCCCCTGGGTTCAATCCCCAGTACAAAAAAAAAAAAGCTTCTACTTTGATTTTTCCACTCTAGGTTTATGTTCGAAGCACAGATGTTGACCGGACTTTGATGAGTGCTATGACAAACCTAGCAGCCCTGTTTCCCCCAGAGGGCACCAGCATCTGGAACCCCAGCCTACCCTGGCAGCCCATCCCAGTCCACACTGTTGCTATCTCTGAAGATCGGGTCAGTATATGGAGAGGTCCAGGAGATATCACGTGGCCCTGGAAGGAGGATTTCATGGGTTCTCAGAACAGTGGATTTGGGAGTCTGAAGGCACTTTGGACTGTACAGTTTTACTTCTTTCCATTAAAAAAAAGAAAAAGAAAAAGAAAGAAGGAAGGAAGGAAGGAAGGAAGGAAGGAAGGAAGGAAGGAAGGAAGGAAGGAAG